TTGTATTTTTCATTTTGAAATTTTAATGTAGGATTTTTTTGGGAAAAAATTGAAGAAATTTAAAAAATCTTAGTAATTCGTAAAGAACACGTTTTGTACAAGTTTTTAATGCAAACCATTTTCAAAAAGAATAATTAAAAAAAAAAAATCAAAATGCATTTTTAGTACACAGTCCAATTTTTCGGTATGCTGTAAAAATATTTTCACTCACCTGAATAAAATAATTCCAAAGGCATCGGAAAGAACACGTTTTGTACATGTTTTTGATATATAACATTTTTAATTTTTTTTTGTATTTTCAATTTTGAAATTTCAATGTAGAATTTTTTTGGGAAAAAATTGAAAAAATTAAGAAAATCTTGGTAATTCGTAAAGAACACGTTTTGTATATGTTTTTAAGGAAAACCTTTTTCAAAAAAAATAATTTTTTAAGAAATTTTACAAAACGTGTTTTTAGTACAAAATTTTTCTCGAAAAATATGCAAGAACACGTTTTTTAAATTAAAGGTACGCAAAGAACACGTTTTGTACATGTTTTTAGGATAATTTAATTTTTAAATTTTCAACTTCCATTTCGGGGTGTCATAGACCTGCCGCAGGACACAGGACACAGGACACAGGACACATCACACACAGCGACGCACATTAATATGCCCCAAAATCATCTCCAATCGTGTTTTCTACATTAAATATGCATAGAAAACATGTTTTGGGATGACTTTAATTTTTTGGCCTAATACAATACCTTCCCTACACTAGGTGTGCGGAAAAGTAATATTTCAATATTTTTCATTTTTCTTCTAATAAAATGTAAGCGTGTTTGTCGATTTATAAGCGCCATCTATTGCGAATTTGTACCATTTTCAGTTATGAGGGACTGGCGCTGATGTCAAGTTTTTTCACGTCGCTCCCATGAAAAAAACTCAACAAAACGGGCACCCACATTTGGTATAATTTGCTCATGGGAACCAATTGTCTGAATGATTTTTGGCACAGCGTAGAAAAGCGATCAAAAATATATTGGAATTTTAATGATTGCAAGTAAAACATACTTTCGAATAATTCAGAAGCGCTGGAGAGTATTTTTGAAGAGTGAAGATCTGAAAAAGGTCCTTTCTTCTCCAAAGAAAAATTCTAGCAAATTGTAAGATTTTTCTTCATAACAAACGATTTACCAAAATAAGGGAAAATGAATTTATGAGACTTGATTCAATAATTCTCAAAAATCAAGAGATATTAAATTCTTCTGAACATTTTGTTGGAATTTCTTGGTTTCAAATTTGTTCTCTATATATGTTGAATCAACGAAATAAAGAAGTTTTATTGTTCAAATGTCAACAAAATCTCTGATAAGTGACTTTAAGTCATCATCGAACCAAACGAGTTTGAGCAATTTAAAATCTTCTAATAGAATCAAAAGATCACTTTATATTAATTCTCTCAATTCATTGATGATTTTGTTATTTTGTTTTGGCCAGCTTAGTGAGTTAACGTCAAACGCTGAAATAGAGTGAAAACAGCAGAAGTAATTGTTATAGTGCTCACAGAAGACGTCAGTTGTAATATTTGTGAACTCTGGTAGTAATTTACTAAATTACCACAATTACAATGTGCGGCATGGTGATTTTTGTATGTATTTGCTTTGCTGTGACAGCGCTGTACAGTATTACCACCAACACTGCGTTGAGCGATAGTAATATTGCTCAGCAAAGCACATACAATACATACAAAAATCATCATGCCACACATTGTAATGGTGGTAATTTAGTAAATCACCACCAGAGTTCGCAAATATTACAATTGACGTATTCTGTGAGTGATTGTAGCAATGTAAGTGTTTTTATGAACATACAAATTACTTCTTCTGTTTTCACTTCAGCGGCTGGCGTTAGCTTCCTGAGCTGAATCAGCTGCCTCAAAAAACACAATATAAAATATAATGTCTGGTTATATATTACTTTTTGGAAATTGGATTTACTTTTTTGGTTTGCAGATCACTTTTTCGATTCGAAGCAGCTTGGGATTCAAGCTTACATAATTCAAGCTTACTTAATCGCGTAACTCAAACTGGTGAAACTATATATATTACCCTAAGCGCTTATTTGGAGGTAACGTAATAAACTCTTACAATTCTGATAAAAATAACATTAATATATATTTTTAGTTGGAAAACTGTGCTCGACCAGCAATAATTACTAAAGATTTGAGTATGGTAATATATGGTCGGGATGCTCGAACAGGTCCACGTTCACTAAAACACTTGTTTTCGGGTCAATATCGTAATCCAGAGGCAAATCGTCTTTCTGGAATATATGAGCTATCTTTGAGACGTGCCTCTGAAGCAGGTATGTTAGAGAGAAGTAAATTATTTGAATTTGACATTATTATTATTCATTAAAAATTATAGATAGGTTAACAATTTAAAATTAACTATATTATACCAATATGTAAATTTGTTGGATCTCACTTACAGTAATTAAATGCTGTAAAGTAGGATGCATCGATTTTTCTTTTTTGACATTTAAAAAACAGCTACTGCGGCTTTTGTGGACCTGCTCGGTAGCATATCTCAAATGCGTTGACATTTCTACATTGTTATGCCATCTATTACCGAAACGTTTGAAACTTCACGCTTTTGTATAGTTTTTGAACTTTCGCATACAATACTCACATAAAACATTGTCTATGTAATTTTCATACAAAATATCGTTTTTGTATATTCTCTTTTGAGCGTTCATCTTCATTTATGCTTTGAAGAAGATCCGCACAAAAGAATACACAAAAACGATATTTTGTATGAAAATCATAAGGACAAATACAGTTTATGCGGCACGTCATCTAGTTTTCCTTGCATATTTTCTCTGTGTACACTGCTGAAATATGTGCTTATTAGGGCGGGGCCGGTATTCTAGAACAATCCACAAAAATCGTTCGGAATCATTTGTTTATATAAACAACTCGGCTCAGTGAAAACAATAAAAGTTATTGTTATAATTATATTAACACTCACATTACTAAAATAACTATAACAACCACTTCTATTGTTTTCAGTCCGATTCAGCGCCTGACCGTAGCTAATATTTTGAGTGTGTAACAATTTTTTTAATATTTTCAATATTTGGCGACAAATGTAGAGTTCTATTAAAGTTATATTTTGGTACTTTTAATGTCCATATTTGACGGCAAACGTTGAAAAGACAAAAAAATATTAGTTTCAAATGAATAGTCCGCTCAATATATTGTCGGAATAATTCCACTGTTGAAAGAGGTGTCGGAGTATTTCGGAACAAAATAAGTAGAATATTGTTTATTTTTTTTTGTCTTATGAATAACGACTATTATTCTCGTTATGTGCTACAATATTATTCAAAACAATATTCATTCATAGAAATATGTTTTTCGGAATAATTCCGAACAAATTGATCGGAAAGTGGCATTAGAATACCGGCCCGGGTCAATTTTTTAAGAGGTCTGCGTCAGCGAAATTCGTAAAATACATGTAATTTTAAGACATTTTCTCCACTAGAGCATATACAAATTTTTTATTTTAGCTGTGCCAATTTTTGAGAATAGATTTTTTCCTCAATTATAAAATATGAATATATGAAATTTGAAAGTGATAGAAAAAAGTGTATAAAAAGATCATTTGTACTGTCATTTCAAAGGTAATTTTGGACGCTGAATGCGAATCTGGCATTGAAAATACTCAAAATTCAACTATCAATAAAAAAAACGTGATTTTTTACCAAAAAATCAAACAAATGTACGTGATGAAAGTGTACATTCCAATGTACTTCAACGTTAAATATTACAATTCAATTGCATATGGAAGTGTTTTGTTCTTCAAATTTATACAATTGACGAATTATCTGCCACCGAATTTACTTTCCGTTGTTCATAGTGTAATGCAAGACAATAGCTTCTTTGCTAGCTCTGAAAATGTTTTGCTAGCAATGATTTGTTCCAATGTGAAACCTATACGTCAAATGGCAATCGACAAACATAAAACATATCCGAAATGATCTCGATCGGACAACATTGAGAGATTACAAAAAACCGAAAATAAATTTTGACTGCACCCATTTTTCCAACATGATAAATTTGGATGATGATGATAGTCTACACGAGCCGCCATACACAAGAGACATTCCACTGCAACATTTGATTGAAGATTATTATGATTGTGATGAGGTGATGATTAACGTCAAAATACCACGCCACATTCAGAGCACCGAACGAAATGTCCAAGAGGTGACCAGAGCATCCAAACACGTTACAGAGAAATACAAAAGTGGTTTTATTGCGACATTATTATTTTTCAATCAAAATGAATTGATTAAAATGATTAAAATTAGGTTTAAATGTTTGAATTTGGACTATACTGATGCAAATAAACATCAAATGTTTCGTATATGAAAGTCTTGTTTAGTTGTTCATTCAATTTTAATTTTTAGGGCGCTGATTTTATGAAAATAGAGTAATTTAAATGGCAGATTTGAATTCAGCGCCAAAAATTACCCTAGAAATGATGGTATATATGATTCCAGAAACATCTTCTTCATTCATCACGCTTTTTTCGCTTCAAAAGTAACAAAATGCAGGAAAAAATGGCATTTTTTTGAAAAATAATTTATCATTTCTTATGGTTTGAATAGTCATTTCTAAGGTAATTTTGGACGCTGAATCCGAATCAAGCCTTGAAAATGAGCTAACAATTGCATAAACAAAAATTTCGCTACATTTGTTTGATTTTTTGGTAAAAAATCACGTTTTTTTTATTGATAGTTGAATTTTGAGTATTTTCAATGCCAGATTCGCATTCAGCGTCCAAAATTACCTTAGAAATGACAATACAAATGATCTTTTTTATACACTTGTTTTATCACTTTCAAATTTCATATATTCATATTTTATAATTGAGGAAAAAATCTATTCTCAAAAATTGGCACAGCTAAAATAAAAAATTTGTATATGCTCTAGTGAAGAAAAAGTCTTAAAATTACATGTACTTTACGAATTTCGCTGACGCAGACCTCCCAAAAATTCTTCCATACAAATTGACCCGCCCTAGTGCTTATATAGCTGAAGTTCTATAAGTTTGGGTGTTTCAACGTGTCAGTAACAGGTGGCATAACGCGACTGCTTTTGCCACTTTGTTCGAACATGTTTGAGTTATGCTCGGTAGTAACAACTTATGTTCTGGTACACTGTTCCCGACTTGATGTTCCCAAATTTTCGAATGAATTTTTTTAAATAAATTTGTATGAAAGCGAATAATTGTGAAAAAAGTCATCCAAAACATATACTTCCGTCAATATTTTTCCTCAAAACTCATTTATTTAAATGTACAAAATAGGTGTATTTCGTTTCATTTTGTAGATTAATTTTTGAAATGTTGTTAACAATTAAACTTTTCGTTCTATTCAGGATTTTGTTTATTCTTTTGATCGGCATTCAAATTTATATCAGTCCTTTCCAGCGAAGGAAGGTTTTTTTATTGTGATACTATCTAAACCAATACTAAGACCAATCCACTTTCATACAAATTTATTGAACTTCAAGTCGACTGCGATAAAAATGGGAACAGTTTTGGACCAAAGTACCAGAACAAAAGTTGTTACTCTCGACCAGGTCTACAAAAGCTGCACAAGCCGTGTTTTTTAATTACAAAAACAAAAAATTGACGCACCCATCTGTTAAGTATGAATGGATTCCAATTAAAAATCGACGGTTTTGTATACGAATGAAAACAAAATCGACACTGACGTTCTAATTTTTTTTTGCTTTAAATAGTCAATTCGGAAGATATTAGACAAAGAAAATAAGATCTACATCGCTATATATTTTTGGAAAAGGTTCAAAGTTCAGTAGAAGTTCGTTCATCGTTTTCTTCGATTGAAAAAGTGTGACTGATTCTCAAGAGTTCGATAAAAACAACAAAATTAGGATAAAGAAGCAATTATGGTTAATTTATACTAAATTTTTAACTTTACATTGATATCACAAAGAAAGATGCTGATGATGAGACGCAGAGTTGTCTCGAAATGCATTCAAGTAAGAAAGTTTAATTTTTGTTAAATTCAATTTTCGACTCAATATAACTTTATCAATGTAAAGTTAAAATTTACATAGGACGAGCCTAAAAGTGTCTTTTACATGTATTTATATGCAAAAGTCATTCTCTGAACTTTAGAAGGATCCCCCTACACCAATGTAAGAGGAACTAGAAGAAATGGTTTTTGCATTGGATAAATTTCCACTATTGTATATTAAATAAAGCATTAACCACCACACATTTTTGTTAGTTCGATGTTTATAGGATAGATACAGCGCCATTCAATGTCTGACAACTATACTTGTCCTATGAAAATTTACTATAAATTAATGTTACTGGATATCACGCCGTTCAACTAAAAACATTCAATTATGGTTGTTGGTGTTGGCATATTTTTTTTGTTTCTCAAACACAAAAAAGTATGCGGTCAAATCAAATGAAGACGCGGTTATTCAGTAGTGTGCGGTCAAATTTAAGCTCAATGCGGTCATATTTTTATCATTTTTATAATTTTGTGTTCTAGAATCAGTGATGGTTTTTTCGTATCTGAATAGCGCTAGCTATTCGCAGCGTCTGAACAGCATTGCTGCCCAGATGCTGAATCGAAGCGGTTGCCGCACGCGTTTTGTACCACACAACATATTGTCATATAGTCTAAGTAACCAGTGAGCTCACAGAGTATGATACACTAATACCATAGTCAGTATACAAACGCATGTCGAACAGAGAACGAACGCGAACGTATATACTCTGTGTGGTACAAACGAAGTGTGTTGCGCGTGCGGCAACCGCTACGATTCAGCATCTGGGCAGCAATGCTGTACAGGCGCTGCTAATCGCTAGCGCTATTCAGATAGGAAAAAACCATCACTGTCTAGAATTGACGATATACTGATATGAATGGGGTAGAATAAAAACTACTTCTCGAAAAATGTTTAAACATGAAACCTAAAAAAACTTTCAATGAAAAGTGAACCAAATTTTTTTTGTCCAATTGAAGTGAAAAAAATTTTAGGTTACGTTTCAAAATATCAATTTTTCGAGAAGTAGTTTTTATTCTACCCCCTACTTATGAGGAAAATATTGGCAGAATCAATTTTCATGGTGTCATTTATTAAAAAATGTTGTGGTTCTTCACTCAAAAATTCAAGATATGGATGTCGAGTAGTTTGTTTTTCTTACCATTCTTGGTTAGTAGTACGGTTCCATGTTTCACATTAAGCCCCACGGCCAAATACCATGTTTAAATTTTCCTCCTTGATTTTGAATTGTTTTGAAAAACTTCTGATGATACTTTTTGTCTATGATTATTTCAACTTTATTTTATTATTCACTTCGATTTATTGCGAAAATAGGAACTGTGTGGAAAAAAGACAATATGTGTTAACAACTTTCACATCTTCTACAAAATAAGTTAAAAATAATAATGTTATTTTATTATTTTAAGGTGTCCAGCGTAGACAGCGTCGTGTTCTAGATACCAGTTCCACGTACGTACGGGGAGAAGAAAATTTACATGGATGGCGTCCTCGAGGTGACTCTTTGATTTTTGATCATCAGGTGTGTATCTAATTTTTGTTGTTAAACCGTCAGTTTCAAAATACAAAATTAAAATATAACAATTTTCGGCTCTTTTTAATATTTATTATCTGAAAGCTTTATTAAGAAATTTTTTTTGCCTACTAAAACATTCGTACAACAACCGAACAGCTTTTTGAAAGAACAAGTATCAAAATATTCCAGACAATATATTGGGCTGAATATTCATTTGAAATGAAACGAAATAGCACAATATTTTTGATAAAACAATAGAAGGGATTGTTATAATTATTGTACCAACGTAAGTGTTTTATAACCACAACAATCACCTCTATTGTTTTATGTCGTAATAGCGTGCTATTTCGAGGGAGAAAACTTTTGTAACACAAAAATAATAAATGTTACACAAAAGTGACAAATGTTACACAAAGTATCAAATTAGCAGAATAGATGAAATGGTTGTATTGGTGTGTAAAATGCAAATGATGATTTTTTATTGTTGTTGTTGAACATACTGTATCAGTTAATCAAATGAAAAAATAAGTGAAGAAAACTTTTTATTCTGATACAAATTTAACGTGATTTTATTTATAAAATGCTAACGTTTTCGGAAACAATGTTTCCATCATCAGGCGAGCTATAAAACTGAAATCTGTACAAAAATTATGTTATATGTTTACTACAATTAGAAAATTTAGTTGATGTTTAAAATGTTGTGTTGATCAGCTGGTGTTGATTTAATTTAACTTAACTAAAAATCTTTAAACTCAAAACACACGAGAGTAGTAAAATAATATGTGAACTGGACCATTTTAATTGCGACAACACCATCCGCCATTTTAATTTTTTATTAGTTCGATTGATTTGAATATGACACATGACACACTTTACGAATATGACAATGGTTTGCATCGGGCAACACTAAATGTTACCAATTCTCAATAATTAAGGAGCTACCCACGTATTTGCTAAATAAATTTTACCAACTGCTTCGTTAAATTCACCAAATTCATGGACTAGCGCCATCTGAGGTTTCGAAAGGTTGGTGAATGCAATGAAGCAGTTGGCAAAATCTATTCAACATATAGTCTTTTGAAAAACATGCCTCATTGATCTCAAAAATGGTAACTCAAATTCATTATTGTTCGTTTTTATATAAAATCTACCAAAATTGAATTAAATATACGGCATTTTTTCTCTCGGTGTACACAAAACCTAGCACAAAACTAATATCAGATTCGGTTAGAAAAAGAAAATGAAATTAATACATTAAGAAAAAAATGTAATACGTCGGCTGTTACTTATATCAAATAAAAAACCTCTATCGAGGTGAAGAGCGAGTGACGAAACCAAAATTTGAAACACAAAATTTCTGATATCAATTTTGTGACGAAAAAAATGTTGGTAGATATATTTTCTGCGAACTGTGAATATAAACTTAATATACATTTGCATATTCAAAACGTTGCAGAAATTTTCTCCTTTTTACTTTGAGTTCATACTGACGCAATGAAGCAACGTTCCGAATATACAATAGTTTTGTAAGCGCTATTTTCAATGTTAAAGATTCAAAAAACATGAATTTGAATATTTTTCAAATACAATGAAAATATGGATTTTTAGGTTATTTTTGGATCAAAATCATATAAATTGTGGTTCATAATGGGGAAAAGTGGTTTTTTCTGTGGTGTGTGATATGCATATTTTTTTTATCTTCGACTTGGGGCTTAAATTGATGAAATTTTCAAGAGAACATATGCAGTCTTTTTCGAAAAAATGCCCGTTATGTGTGCTGCCAACGGTCAATTTTTGGTTTTTGGCCATTAAATTGAAATGACACATTAAATTTTTAAGTCGCAATTGGCACCACTCGAGAGCTTACTTTAGGATCTCTCCAACGAATATGCATATGTCCTGGTTATGTCAAGTCGCGGTCCCACAGCGACCGTATGAAATAATGTTCATTTTTGCATGACCTTTTGCATAGTTTGCCATTTATACTAACAGTTTTGTAGATTTCTTTTAATTTCATTTGTGACTAACCGCATGCACCTCTCCCGACGATAGTCCACCTTCTGGCCTGGTGGGAGGGGACATAAAATTCGGTATTTTATCGATCTTATGCGAGGAAACTATCAAACATGTAGTTATTTGTTGTTAAGATTTCATATTTCATACATCTAGACATTTTTGTGAAAATTCGAATTTTGGTACATTTGGCCGATTTTCGGTGGAATAGCCATCCAAAACGGTCGATATTTTATTCAATTTTGTTTGGCTAGTCACAGAGCATATTCAAAGAGTCATTGGAGTACATTTTGGCCCATAAAATACTTCAAATGTTAAAATTAACATTTTTTGTCATTTTTGGCCATTTTTGGCCATATTTGCAATACCGAAGGTCATATCTTGAAAACAAGAATTTTCTGGGATAGGAGCTATGCGGCATATTAAAGCTTAGACTTGGGCCTAAAATCGGTGAAATTTTCCAAAAAATACTTGAGCTTGTTTTCGAGGCTATGGACGTTATGTGTCCAGCCAAACGGTAACTTTTTGGTTTTTGGCCAATTTGGCCACCCCAAATAGAAATTTTTGGACCGCAAATGGCTTCATTCGATAGCTCACTTCCAATGATATGCATATGTCTGGGGGGCGTCAAGTCATGGCGCTTCGGTGTCCGTGGGGACAAAAGTCAAAAAGTGACTTTTGGAGGCCGGCCAGGGCCAATATGGCGGCCATATCGAAAAGTGCCGGAACAAAAAAGTATTAGTTTTTTATGTACTTTAATCACAGAAAGTTTCAAAAAGATCAGAATCGAGTACGCAAAATTGCGCACAGACAGACAGACATTTTGATTTTTCATAGAGATTGATATGAAATTTTTAAAATAAATTTTTTTTCGAACGGATTAACGTAATTCGACGTTTGAGGTATCTTTGGAAAGGTATTGAGCTCTAGAATAAGAATATCGATGTTTCAGGGGTCAATGACCTCATTTAGTGCCATCTATGGTCATGAAAATAAATGTTGACCCTTTTCTTGAAAGGACCATATTTTGAAGACAGGTGGACCGATTTTCAAACTATATATAGCGAGTTCGACTTTTCAACACACTAATGTGGTTTCGTCACTCGCGCGAACTGCCGTCCGCTGTGATATTGAGAATAGCAAACGCGTGTCTGTATAGATAAACATTTATTATTGAAAATGACTTTATTGTTTTTCAAAATATTCTCCGTGATGGTCGATACACTTTTGCATTCGATGAAACCATTTGTCATAGCATTCATGCCACTCCGAAACTGATATCTCCAAAACATGTGTTTTGAACGCATCAACTGCTTCTTCGGGCGTCAAAAAACGTTGACCACGTAGTTTTCTCTTCACGCTCGGGAACAAAAAGAAGCCATTGGGTGCCAAATCAGGACTGTACGGCGGATGTCCCATCAGTTCGATGTTTTGACTGGTCAAAAATTGAGTTGTTTGATTAGATGTGTGAGAGCTCGCATTATCGTGATGAAGAATTATTCTGCGCCAGCGGTTGTTTTTTCTTAATTCACCAAACACTTTAGGCAAACAAATGGTGGTGTACCAATCAGAATTGACTATTCTACACACACGGAAATAATGTATAGATTATTGGTAGAAATGATTTTTTTTCTTAAATCTATACAAAAGTTTAGATATCTCAACAAAAATTTATTTTTTATTAAAAAAATATTTTCTCAATGTCAATAAATATTGCGATACATATTTATCAACGAGCGCCAAAATACATCATTTAATACAGCCTCTTCTCTTCACACGAA